CTGGCTGAGGCCGCGCTGCCTCGGAAGGAGGCGAACGGCGCTGCGCCGCTGCCATCTCCTTCGGCTCCGCTCCGGCCTCCGGAACCCGCGGTGTGTCGGGGTGGCGCTTCTGCCATGGAGGGAACAGTCTGTCCCTGACTCTGTTCTCCCCTTTTCCCCCCCGAAATCACCTCAGGATGGCTACATTCCCGTCCAGCCCCCTAATACGACAAACGGGGGGATTAAGAACATGACCCCGACAGGGCAGGTGTTCAAAAACACTTGGCTTGTCTCCTTCAGGTAGAACCCGCATTTGTGTTCAGCAGCATCAGTCCAGTCCTGAGCCTGCCTACCCAAGTCAGTGTTGAAAGATTTTTAACAGAAATTACAACAGGGGCCCAAACGGATCCCTAGCGGTAGTAAATCCAGAGCCACATCCCATCTACTGAGAGAGAGCTGCTTTGGGGATTGAGGAGTTCAAACCTGGGCTGGCTGGCTGGTGACAATGCTCCATGACAGCACAGATAGATCTACCTCCAGATTCCCAAACTCTTCAAGCAAGAACAACATTCTGCATAAAACCAAAATGCTTAAAGTGGCCAGAGAACCATTTTCGTCTGTTTTTTTGGTACTAAGTACAAAATACAGTTTTCAGTGTGAACTGAAGAGTTTACAGCTTCCAGGCGGGCACCAAAAGCAACCTGGGCGTTGCAAGGACTCCAGGGCAGTTTCAAGAGATATTTACTGTTTCTCCAAAGTACTGTAGGAGACACAGTAAAAAAACATCCTCTGAAGTCTCACTCTGTCTATGGATCTCTGTGGAAATGAGGAAGATAAAATAATTCCAGTAGCAAAACTTTTAATTGCACAATGAGTGGTAGTTTTAAGGCTTTAAAACATGAAAAATTAGCATAAGAAAGTTCACTAGAAAGACTTCTGACTGAACACCTGCCACATAAACCATCTGCTTCAGTTTGTAAAGAGAGTTTAACTGTAACAGCTGTAAGCACCAGCAGAAGGCAAAAGGCACTGGAAAAGCAGCCACATCTCCTCCAAACAGAAAGACCACGCCATTTTGGTTAATTAATATTAGTTGGGCAGCCCCTTGCAACCAAAAGACTTTACAGAGTTGAGAGTGATACAGTGTCCATGGGGGTCAGACCCTCAGTGCTGAAGGGCAGCCACTCCTGAAGAGTGACAGGTGAACCACCTCAGAGCTCACAGCACCAGCCTAAGCATTGGAGTGAAAACATGAGATCCCATCAGCACAAGCAGTGCTAATCCACAACCTCCAAATACCAACCTCCAGCTCATGTCCCTGGGAACGATGAAGAGGCAGATCCCTAGTTGCTCTGCTGTGGCCAGACTTCTACACTGGCTTGGTTCAAGGAGATTAACTGTTACCCTGGCAACTTTGGCAGCATAAACTCCCATGGAGCGCTTCTCCAGCACGCACCTGGACAGCCTTCACTGTACATCTTTCTCGTGAGGAAAGTAAAAATCTATTGCTCTGTCCTTGTGCTGCACTGGTGTGTGTGCAGGTCCTCCCCTGCCCCTGGGATGGGGACTTCTTCCCTGCTGGAAGTGACAGATGAACAGTGAGATATTGACTGATGCTGCAGAGTAAATCTGATCACAAAGCAGCCTTGACATGCAGAAAAATGTGCACATGGCACTTCTACCCCCAAGTTCACAAAAAGGAGGGGAGACCTGACAAGCACAGCTCTAGGCTTGGATTTAGGAAACTAGGGTTTCTGGTAAGGTGTGCGAGTGTATTTTGATACTCAGTTTGGGGGTGCCAGGAGGGGAGGTTCTTCCCCAGGCCTCATTAACATTGGGCCAACGGTCCCTCCCAGTAGTATATTAATTTCACGAGCACAGTGTGGCAGTGGAGGCGCACAGAGCCCCAGGTGAGCTGGAAAATTGAGAAACCAGTGTCTCACCAAGGGGCTCCTCCACATGGTCCTTTCTCAGATCTCAGATGCAGTCTTAAGCAGAAGGGTAATAATCCAGGCCCTTCAACAGCATGGCTGAAAGCAGGCGGCTTTGCTTCTGCAAAACTTTCCACTCATGGCAAAGGAATCTGGCCTGAGAAGTTTGGTACTGCACCTTGGGATTAAAATCCTAAATGGAGATATGCTTCATTCTTCATTGAACATCATATGACAACTAAATTTGAGCCTTCACAAAGTATCCTTACTTGGGAGGAGGCAGGGAGGATACATGGAGGAAGACAAAATGCTGAAAACCCCTTGAAATACACAACTGTTGGTTACATCTGTTTCCTAATTTCCTTGCAGCTTCACCATCACTGACCCCACCCAGACCTACAGAGCACTCTCCTTCCATAGCCACCTCCTCCAAGAACAGCTGCCCAGTCAGCAGATGCAAGTCTTGACGTGTTGCAGGATCCACGTCTTAATCTGTGTCCATTCTAAAGTGCAGATACATCCAAAAAGCAAAAGTGCAAGGACCAGTCCCCATATTTACTGGTCTGGCTGACTCCAGTTTGGATGCACTCAGGCATGGTAGGAGTTCCACCTCATGAACAAAGTGGAAAAAGCATCAGCCTTGGGTCCCTCCTGTCTGTCTGCATCAGGGGGTGGTTAGGCCAGTGGAGGCCTTCAGAGATAGCCCATCCCTCTGCTCATACCTGGCACTGTGTATACAGAAGAAGAAAACCTGAGCAAGAAAAGCTACCTAGAAAATAGTAAACAAAAACCAGGCCTGGCACGGTTTATGTCCATTTGATGTAGGGTGGCTTTGTCAAAACTGTATTTTGTGACAGTCCTTAGCACATGACACCCTCAAGCTGTTCTCGGACAAGGTTCTGGAAGGTGTTTGTTGGCCATGGCAAAATAGTGCTGGGGAATACACTAACAATAACACAGCTAAATAACCCTGGCTGCACAGTCCCTGTGCAGGGCTGGACCACCCTCTGCTGTGAGGTAACGTGACTTTGCATGAAAGCAATTTTTCCCCTTTATACCTGAGGAAGAAGAGCAGAATTCACAGCCAGTCCTACAGATGCAGGTCAACTTCCTAGAGCCCTCCAAACGCTATCCAAACCTCCCCAGTATTGACAGGCTTCTGGTTGATGTGTCAGCTCCACTCTGGGGCTGTCACAGCTGTTGTGGGTAGGTCTCACCTAGTCACTCCTGCCTCAGAGAAAGCAGCACTCAGTGCCCAAGGGGTGCGAATATCTGCTCCCTTTATGCCCTGTAGTTCTGAGACTATAGCTGGACATAGTCTGCCTGCAAACAGAACCAACAAGACAGGATCCATTCAGTAAAAATTTGTAAGTGCTTCCCAGAACAGGTCTTTCTTAAAAAGAAAGAAAGAAACTCGATTTCCAGGTAAAGAAGCTGGTGTACTACAGCATCAGTTACCTCTGTCAAGTCTTAGTCCCTCCTGCTAAACTCTCTACCCAGAATTGGTGCCCAAACACAGAGACCTGGACACTGGAGTTATTTTCCCAGGCTCACCGGCAGGCAGAGGAGGGAGACAGGTGCTTTTTTGGTACAAGTCACCTGCCCTATGTAGGACATAATGATATGAAGTCACTCCCAAGAAGTCCTTTTTTTCTTTCCAGTGACTGTGAAGGAAAGTAGGTGACTGCCTCAGTTGCACACTCTTGCTTGCCCCTCTGCCCCTGAATCTCTCATTAACTCTACTGCTGTGTCCCCTACTAGGACTAATTTCTGTTTTCTTACTAAGTCTTGCCAGCTACAGTGCTGAAAGGCAACAGCACAGCTTGCCATGAAGCTAAGGAATAGGGTGGAAATGGGTAATCCAGTATGTGAACACTGGCTAAGCACATGGAAAGGGCGATTTATCTGCTCCCACCATTTAGGATAGTCAGAGGAGTCACAGGTTTAATCTACGCTCAAGGACCTCCTGAGGCACCATGTGAGCAGCTCTGTTTATTGAGCAGTCTTTCTTGTCACTTCTGAGTTCTCCAAGAAGCTGCTCTGTGCTCAAGGAAATGGCTGTGTGAGAGAGATATGGATGGGATGTGGCTGTTACCTGGAAGAAATGGTGATGAAACACTGAAGACACAGTCCAAGGGCAGGGCAGGGCAGGAAGGGCATATAGAGCACCAGGCTCTTTGGGGACAGTAGCAGATTGTAAATGTCAGATCTTCCTGTACAACAAGGAACCTGCTTAACTGTTGGCAAGATCACAGAACTGCTTTTGCAGCAGTGTCCACAGAACAGATTGATCTCTGTTCCCTGAAACTACTGCATATGCTTTGCTGCACTCTTCATTGTAAGACAGCCAAACAAGACTTAGATTGCCATCATAATCCAGGCCTTGTTTAATCATGTTACACTTCCTGTTGTCCTGTGGGTTGTTGCCAATACCAGCACTGTATAATCAGTTGCCGTAATTGCTACAGATGTCATAATCCACCTTGAGAACAGAGGAAGAAAACAGTAAGAAGAGCTGGGCTGGCCCTTGGTGAATCTCTCTCCCCATCCACCCCTTATTTGAATATAATTTTGGTTTATTTGAATTCCTCGCATGGGAATCAGTCTGGCCCCACTGGGGTAGTTAGAGCGCTCCCATGTAGGTGCAGCCATCTGTCTGAGAAGAGGACCATGCTGCATGGCTGTTTTGTACAGCTGGGATCAGCTTCCCAGGCTACTTCACTTTGTGATCCTTAGATCAGATAGGTAAAAGTCTGTTTCCGTTTTTTAAAAAAAATCTCTTTCTGCCATCATCTGACAGACTTCATGACAACCAGCCCTAGCTTTTGAGTGCTAAGAAACAGTATCCCAGTACATTTCAAATATGAGAAAATTCTTCCTGACT